GCCCCTTAGGAGCCTATGGATCCCCTCGGCATGGTTCATAGGGGCATGGTCTCCTGCGCTCCCCCTCCCCCTTTGTATCCGCCACCGTCCCGAGCAGCTTAATAGATGGGGCTCGCCAAGAGCATAGCACCATCCATTTGAACAAGAAGTACCCAAGGCACAGCAAGGGGGTGGCCCAGTGGCCCAACCGATTTTAGAAAGTGACCTCCCAGGTCTGTGTAGCAGTTTTGGCCCTCACGTAGATTTTCTGTTGCCTTCACATTTCCCCAGTCAACTGTAAGACCTCAGCTGCTACACTCCAGGACAGGCGGTGAGATGGTAGGATGTACTGCAGTTTATTACGGTAGTGCGGACATCAAACAGCGAGGCCCGGGTTTTCTCCAGACAATATCAAGCAAAAATTGCCAGCCCTGCTGATCGCCACGATTTCCTAACTGCGCAGTTGACCACAGCTATGCTGAGAAGCTTGTATCGGCTAATCTCTTTTCTTGACCGCACCTAATCGCTTGTAACTTGTCCCCATTGTTCTCTTGATCCTCTACATGATCCTGATCTGGCTCCCGCAAGGTTTTATTTCATCATATGCATGCTGCGACGATAAGCCCTGCCTCAGCGTTAGCAGGATGGCCATGGTACTAGCTTGTCGCTTATCTATCACCTTGATCTAAATGCTAGCTAAGAGGCTTCTGGAGATCCAAAATATGTAGCGCGGCAATCACAGCTGGTGGCTCGCTGGTAAGACCACGCAGCGGCCCTCTCTTTGCAGCGAATTGCTGGCTTTGTCGTCGTGCACATTATGTCCGTATTCTGTATTCTCCGTACTGTTGCATTGTGCATGATAGAAGAGAGAAAGATACACGGAGCTTTGACATACAATATATTCCAGCGGTATATTATACATACTTTGACATACAATATATTCCAGCGACATATACGTAGCAGAATCGCACAATAATTGCCTGCTTGTGCGACGCTATAAACAACATGCACGTCCCGGATTGTATTCTCCGTGCTGTTGCATTTTTCCGCCGAACGCCCTCCGCGCGGCCGATATATTAGCATTTGACTGGATTGTCAGCCGTCATCGTCACGATTGTCGATTGTCAGGACTGGATAGCCGGGGTTGCAGCGATAAAAAAATCGATTGAGACAAGTGCGTATAATCGTACCGGCACATAGATACGCTACCGTTTGCAGGTTATCTCGGGACATCGAGCGGAATTGTCCAAGGGCCTCGCGCATCGTGTGATACGTCTGTGACAGTTTGAGTCAGGAAAGCGAGATTTAGAACTCGGTAGCTGGTACGGACCCCTTCCAGTGACGCCTCGGCAAATGTCGGCTATGGATGTCTGGGAAAGCAAGCATCAAGCGTCTCCATGCTCTTGAACTCGAGCTTAATCCTAACGACTCTTAAACTGCCACGTTTCGACATCAATGCCAAGGTGACGACATCAATGCCAAGGTGACGACATCAATGCCAAGGTAATTATGAAGTCGTCTCCCAATAAGCCTTTTCCACTTTTGCGGGCGTGTAGCTCAGGAACTCAGGTTCTGTAGCTCAGGTTTTGGGTTTTAAAAATGGCATGGCAGTGAACTGCAGTAACAGGTCCTCAAGGTGGCTATTTCAGTTCAAAACCCTATCTAAAGGTAGAACACTCCCTTTAAAGACGCCGTCCCGGATATTGAGGCTGATGTTTTGGAAGGACTTTTGCGACCGCAAATATCAAGTACGCTTCCCATGCTGACATTTTGCATAATTTGTATTGGCCTTTCTCTTGGATGAGAACCACTACACGGCAGGTTTCCCAAACTCCCTACGTCCAAATTCACTTAATGTCCAAGTGCCAGCGATATATTGTCACTATTGATCGATGAAAGCATATGTATGGTACGTGGTTCGAGAGCTCCCGTTAGGCCAAAAGCAAGATTTGGCCTTTTGGTTTCCTTTCAGTCGAGAGAGAGAGAGAGAGAGAGAGAGAGAGAGAGAGAGAGAGAGAGAGAGAGAGAGAGAGAGAGAGAGAGAGAGAGAGAGAGAGAGAGAGAGAGAGAGAGAGAGAGAGAGAGAGAGAGAGTCAGAGAGTATGGGAAAGCACTGCAACCGTTATCTTTCTTGGCGATAGGGTTCAGCTGCAGCACGGGCGCATTGCACCCATGCATCCAACCCACATTAGCCGATATCCATACTGCGTCGCGCTGCAAAATAAAGCTCTGGTTGTTCAGCGCTCGGCCGCCCGCTGCAGGAAACTCCCGAGCCGGTAGGCGGACCGTGGTGCTGTTCCTCTTGGAGGGGGAGGGGTAAGTAAGCCCCTGACTGGTCAGCTGGTGACATAGCGTTCGGTAGAACAGGGTGAGTTGTTCGTTCAGAAAGCCCAAATTGGGTAATCGCGAACCAGCACACAAATTCTGCTGAGGGTATTCTGTCAGACCCCATGAAATCTTTAATGAGACGTCTAGTGAATGAGAAGTGTTGGAATCGTACGACCTGCATTGCTCCAGCAAAGGAAAAGTTCCAAAGATATCCAAAGGCTCATCAATGCTCTGCTTCCTCAGCATGCGGCCAACATTAAGGACTAATGTTGGTGCCTTACTAACCTTAAACTTACTGCAAACTGATGTTATTTTACATCTGTCAGTTGATTTCTCCGATCATTGGTCCAGTATGTAATATGAGTACTTTGAAATCTTCACATTCAGTACTTTTCCTCTTTCATTGTGGATAGTTCATCCGAAGCTCCATTTTTACATGGCTAAGTGAGGTGCTGTCCGATTACAATTCCCTCCGCTACGATTTCGTCACGATATGCCAACATTAAAAGACGTGCATTGGTTTTGTCAAAATGTTCATCATGCGGATGCACACATCACGCTGATCATCACCAGTTTGAAAAATATTCAATAAACACAAGTTACAGCATTTTTTTAGTGGTGCAAACAACTGCATTGGAAAACAAGAACAAGGGCATTTCTTAGCCAACTGGTCATTTCTGCCCAGTAGAACGAGATGACGTGCACTGACCATCGAGAAACAGGCATTGTTACAAAATCCTTGAAGTTGCAAGGTTCGAAATCCTTGAAGTTGCATTGCTCATATCACCATTCAATGAAACTCTAAAAATGCAAAAAATGTAAAAATGCTCGTACAAAAAAATGTTTCTTACAATTGACGCATGCATCTCTACTTCTGGGGCCACAATGATGGTGTGAAAGACACGAGTTTAAATGTCCGGCAATTTTCAACAATGCTCGGCCAACAGCAGTGTTTTCTTCAGTATCCTTACTTGCACTGCAAATCTGGTCTTTCAAATGAAACATCGTGTAGTAATACAAACGAACACAGGTGAAAAAACAGCACGTAGCGCCCGCACTGACCTGTATCTGAAGTGTGTTGACATGCCTAGGCTCTTGATCTGGTCACCGAAGCGCAGGATCGAGTAGTCATCGGTCAGTGTCGGTGTGTCAGTCGAGCACCGAGTCGACGTCCCAGACGTCGACCGTGACGGAGGTCTCCAGCAGCGTCCAGTCACCGCCCAGGGTCAGGGTCATGTCGCAGAACAGCGGCGCCTTCAAACCGATCGCCCAATACACGTCATCGGCCGTGTAGCTAAGCGCTTGCTGCTGGCAACAGCTGACGGCAGCGGCGGCAAGAAGTCGCCGTCGGGCCGGCCCGTCGGGACGTCGAGTCGGGCCGGCTCGTTATTTGCTCCTGACCGGGATCGCCTGCGACCGGTGGCAGCGGCCTCTCAAATGACGTCACCGGCCGGAGCGGGCTTCACCGGGAATCGCGGCACGTTAAACGTTCTTCGCAAAATTATGCCTTTGAACTTGAATTTTACGAGCGTATTTGAGGAATTAGGGCTTAAACGACACATGCTGCTTAGCATGCACGCCTACCCCATTAATGAATAGGTTCATATTCAATCCGCCCTCGCCTCCCCTCAAGGCAAATGAGAAGACATGCAATAATAGCTTTCATAACCCTAGTACCACGGTGAAGAATAATTCCGGTGCCTGAAAAGGCTAGCTAAGGCTAGCTTCCATAAGCCTAGCACTACGGTGAAAAACAATCCCGGTGCCTGAAAAGGCTGGCGCCGATCAAGGCCTTTAACTTACCAGACATAATCATCCGCTGGAGTTGTTTCGACGCATGTGCCACGTGGCGACGTCATTGGTGTTGCAAGCTGGACCCAGTGGCCGCGGTTTAAAACGGGAACTACCTGGGGAGCCGGTCGATGCCGATTGGAAACAGAGCGACACTTGACGTCAAATGTAACGTGGTTTTCAATTTCGTTGAAGTACAAAAACAACTGTGCGAAAGTACTGAGGATCACAAATATGATCAAACGAAGAGCGTTACAGCCAGTGATAACAAGGCGCCAAACTGCTAGCGCTGAGCTGGAGCAGTGTTAGTGACCTCGCCATCCATCCTCACAGCCTGGCCGCATTCAGAGCCGTTAATGACTCACGGGTTCCGTTGCGGTCCGGTCCCTGTTCATGCCACGTGCCGCTGCATGCCAGCGTGCCACCCGGGTGCGAGCGACGGGTGCCCTAGATCTGCCGGCTCTTCACCTGTTGGTGGCACGCAGGGCATACTGGGGCATACAGGGACATACAGGAGCACACAGGGCACGCTGGAGCGTCGAGCAGCTCCGCATTCACCTCTGGGCTTAATGGCTGCATTTGGCTCGGCGGGGGCGGCGGGGAATTCCAGACCGCGGCCGGCTGGCTCGCTGTCCTACGCTCCGCCGGTAATCCCACCGACTCTGAACGGGTGGTGCGCAAAATGAACAGCATGAAACGTATGGCTGCAGTGTCTGCACGAGGCCGCGTCCCGGGAGCCGCGACCCACCCCGGCTCGGCGGCGAACACCAACAGGACCGCGTGGGCCACGACCCGCAGAGTCTCCGAACCAGCCGTCGGAGGGGCGACGTTCCAAGCTCATTACGAGCCACAACGTCTCCTGACCAGCTACCGGGGGACGACTCTCCGAGCCCATTGACAGCATGCAGGTCAGTGCTTGCGCTCTGAGTCTTCGGGGCTGGAACTCAGGGGCGGGAGCGTGACTTGGCTGTAGGCGAGGGGTGAGATACGAACTGTGGGTTATGTTGAACTCACGAAAGGGCTCAGCGCTGGTGGTTGGCGGTGGGTCGGAGATACGAACTGTGTGTTGTGTTGAACTCACGAAAGGGTTTAACGCTGGTGGTTGGCGGTGGGTCGAGTCATGTCTGGCGGATCACTCGTGTGATGTGGACGTAACCTCCAGGAGCACCTTTAGGCTCGTTTTGAAGAAAACTGTCACCCACTCCAGGCCGTGTGCGATTCTTAGCCGCATTCTCACCATGTGATGTTGTGCGTTCTCACAGCCGAGTACGGCTCAAAACACAGCCAGGGTTATTAGGCTAAGAGAAGAAGTGAGCCATGTGCACATTGTTTCGTGTCGCAGGTATGCGCTGACTCAGAACCAGATTGCACTGACCTGGATTCACGCATGGGGTATCCAAATCCGTTGACAAATGACGGCGTACGGTGGATGAGGTTTCAAGCTGTTTGACATGCATTTGCTTTCCTGCCACATCTTGTACTGATGGGTGACTTCGGCGACTCTTATGCCATATCTTTGGAAATCACGTCACACTAGTACCAAAGGTCATTTCACCTCCACCTCTTTAGATCGTAACCCTACCACTGCTACTCATACAATCTCGCAAAGCGATACGAGTAGAGCAGGCTGTTTTTTAGTCAGCTGACCAACAAGATCGTGCTAGGTTTTTAGTTCCCATCTTCGAGAGACTGCATTAAAGTTGTTATGTGCTGCGTAAGTAATGGTTTGGCTCAAGCTATATGCTGTGTAAGTTTCAACGCAATCGAAAACAAACACTGCGTGCTCAGTAATGCCATTTTGCAATGCAAATTACCATCTCATATGGTACAATGCTGTTGAAATGACATAATTTGACTGACCGCACCTTCAAATAGCTTTTATATATTTTTACATACCGTACTTGTGTGACAACGAATCATTGTGCGCCAATCATGCAATCGTTTTCAAACTATTACAGCGAACAGTTGAGAAATCAAGACTGCCCTGAAAGTGTTGCGAACAAAAGGGGGGGGGGGGCAGTAATTATTATTCTGTCAGGTACGACAGCTCAGAGAACTTATTAATGTCATAGGTGATTACAGATAGCGAATAGTTGTCTCATTATCCCCGCGTGCAGCATTTTCCTTCGACCGTTGTCGTCCCATCAATGCCACTCCCCACCAATGCGTTTTTGATAAATTTATTCCTAATGGTTTGCATGGGTGACTTCGGATTCAGAGTACCTGCTAAGCATGGCTTGTTGCGTGTACCCCGAGCTCATCACCCAAGCGTGCCGTCCAGTTCAACAGCTAATTTTACCCCCGCCCTTTCACCAGACAGGAATGCGGAGGGTCTTACGTGCCGCACAATGCTGCGACACGGCCGCCTCGGATCTGGGTTGAACCTCGTTGGCCAGTTGCCAGCTGGCCTTTCCATGTCATTCGGGTCAAATAATGCGCCCACTCTGGGACTCGTGCCCAGTGCCGCTGGATTACGAGTCCAGCATCTTCTCCTAGACCACGGAGGCGGCTAATGTGGACGAGCTTTAAACAGCTTTCAACGACCAGGCTGCGTTCAGATCTATGCGTCTCATCTGGGCTTCCTCTCCCTACGACACGGCTGAGCCACAGCTGAAAACGACACAACTGAGTTCCACAAGTCCAAGATGCGACTGAGTTTCAGCCCCTGACAGCTGAATTCATCTTAGCATCACAAGGCGTTCAGCACTGCACGACACGGCTAGGTCTCGGCTTTGGACGACACGGTTGAGACTTGTCTCGTACCGCGCGTCTGAGTTTCGGCTTTCTACGGCACGGCCCAGCCGAACTACGAGATACGTTGTCGTGAGACACAACTTCTCTGGTCTGTACACCACCGGGTTTCGGATGTCTTCAACCCCCACTGCCGCCCTTCAGCTCTGTACAACACTATCAATTCGGTTTAGTCACGGCACGGTCGAGCTTCCTCGATAAGGCTGCTGGGTTTCAACTGCGTTCTACGCGCCTGGGTTCACGCTCGCACGACGCGGCTGATCTCAGTCGCCACGGGCGGGCTTCAGATTGATACGACGCGGCGCTGCCTGGCGCCGGCGCTGCTGTTGGCTCTCGCCAGCGGCCTTCAGCACTCGGCTGTGCTGGACCCGGACGGCGACGTCGTCATCCACTGGACGCCCGACGACGACAGCAACGCGATCGTCATGCACGTGGAAGCCAAGACTAGGTGAGACTCGCACCTGAACCCGGCGTCTGGTGGAGGCGGTGATCTATTGTTTGGCGACGGCGATGGCCAGCGGCCCCGATCTAACCCAACGTAAGCTGTAGTGTTCTTGGTTTTCATGCAAGGTTCAGAACGATGCCTAATGTGTTTTGTTGAAAATGTATATAATCTGCTCATTTGCAGAATGCGATTTATGTGTAGCAGTCGTTATCTTTCTATATATAGCAAGCTGGCAATGCACGCTTTCATATACCAAGGAAATAATTCGGAATTGTTTGCTGGCATGACGTTTTCATCACAATTTACGGGATAACCACTACCTCTCTGCGTTCCAATGGAAAGTGGACCTGACTATTACCAAAGACGTGTGATTATTAATTCATTTTAATACATTTTTCGGCATGAAAAAGCTGATGAAAACTCTATACAACACTTCTCCGCCCCAAGCACAGCTGTAACACGTAAAGTCATCGCATGAAAATGGGTGTCGGCTATATCAGCTCAACAACTTAATATGTTGCGAGCTGTACGTTATTTCCGACCAAGACAATCGCAAAGCCTAGTGAAATAATCCTTTAGCAGCCGGTGCAGAAACCGAAAGCAAACTCTGTGCAAGGCGATATTTCTTTTAATGGTGGTGAGCATGGTGCTCGATGGAAAAACTCCTTTGACTTGCTGGTTAAAGTTGAAAATCCGAGCAGAGGAAAAAATAAAAACTTTGTGTCTGCATTCCTAATCGGACGCGACTAGCGTAGATACTACTCTGTGCAGTTGCCCATCGATTTGAAAGGGGTCGCTATTCCTTAACTTGTTATGCACTTGCGAGGAGCATTATTCGCATGGACAAAACAGTAGCAACTAGTCTTATTGCGCGGAGAAAGACCAGGAGAATGGAGATCTAGATGCGTTAATATTTCAGCACCATGCCCTGATCGAACAATTCTGCTATTGTCTCGATAAAGGCATGTTGCCGAAATGTCAACGGATCTATACCTCCGTTCTGCGGGTTTGTCTCCGAGGAATAAGGCTGTTGCCACTGCCTTTTCTGTGAGTCACTGTTCCTGTGAACGATACCCGTGTTCACGTCCCCAATTACCCGAAGTCCATTTCCCGAAGCATCCAAAGTTGAGTCCCTAAGCTCATGTTCGTTGGCTGTCCAAAAGCACGCAAATTATTTTGTGTCGGCAGAGGCTGGGCCGCTGTTGGGTTCTCACCGAATGGCGCCATGACAGGGGCCGACATCGTCATGGGATGGGTCGACGGAATAGCGCACGTGCAGGTGGGTGAAAGCAGCCGCTACCGCGTCCCTGTGTTGAGCCGGAGAAACTCCTGCCGAATGATGGGGAGATTGCTGGCCGGCTGGTCGACGGTGGGGCCGCGCTTGATTACTTTAACGGTGCATAAATGGCTGATAATATATATATATATATATATATATATATATATAATATAATATATTTATTTATATATATATATATATATCTCTCTCTCTCTCTCTCTCTCTCTCTCTCTATCTCTCTCTCTCTGCTCTCTCTCTCCTCTCTCTCTCTCTCTCTCCTCTCTCTCTCTCTTTCTCTCTCTCTGTCTCTCTCTCTCTCTCGCACCCAAAGAATGTATCTAATACCTCCTGTGGTGACACATATGGCAACATTTTTAGCGGTCGCAAAACTCCTTCCAGGAGACGGCCAGCTGATATCGAAATGAATATCAGTAAACTTGTATGCAATAACTATACTTTTGATACTCGTTTCGATAAAAGTATGCCGCTGAAGTATCAACATATCTCTCTATCTACTCTACTGCTTATTCTATGATGAATACGGTTACATACGCTGTCTTCTCTATATGGGATAAAACGATGGAAACGCACCAGCTTGCAGTACAGAATGTCGAAGCTTACGCGTTAGAAGCTGCAAGATAAGTTTTGGAACATTAAAAAGCAACAAGAAAGGCGTTTTAATGACCCGATAATCAGCTTTTGGTTCGCTCACTCCATGTTCGTTGTGCATTTCGGTTGCCAACGAACCCTGAGCAGCCCTCTCTAGCTTAACTATGAGCCGATAATACAAGGCTGTGTAGCCGTTCTCACTTGTGGCTGGTGCAGAGTTGTCAGCATTGGGGATTAATCACCAAACTGGCAGCTTTCTCAGAGCAGTTGGCGGTGAGATATTCCAATTGTTAATGGGTAATAGCATTGAACAAGAAGAACAACTGCTGAAGCTCTCCGGAACGTAATTGGTCCTGCTGCATACGCCTTAAAAAAAATATTTCGAAAGCGGAGAAAAGCTGACCTGAGAACTGACAATATAAAATCTTTAGTTGCTGTTAATTTGAGTTTTGGAGCGCGCCGACAACTGTGGTTATTTTTAGTTTAGCGCTTTTTGCTCTTCTTGTAAACTTGCTGGAATGTCCTGCGCTGTTGCCTTTCGCCTCAGATCACGTACCGAGCAGTATGGTCACGCGGGCACGTGTGCGCGGAGCCTATGCAAAGCATGACTGCGCTCCCCGCCTTTGCGCCATACAAGAGCGCGGAGGGATCTTTTGCGTTTCGTACGGTGCTACAACATAGCCGCCCAGTGCCAGCATAACCTTCCTCGGTCAGGCATGTGCCAGCTGGCCACTAAATAATGATAGGGCCCAACAATTCGCTTTCTCAGGGATTCGAACCGTGTGCTGCGAGACAGCTTTCAGCGACGCTCAACCTCATCTGACAGTTTTACCTTTCGGTCTGGGAGCCAACCGGTGCCACCCAGCTTAGCAGATTTCCTCACTGCTGAGCGCGGGAGCCTTCCTCTTCCTGGTCAACCTGACGCTGTGGCTGCGCCGACAGGACATGCACGCAGTGGGAAACAGCGCACCACTGCTGGACAGCAGCAACGATGTCGAGCTGCTGGAAGGGAGCGAAAACAGCACGCACACCATCTTCACCTTCCGTCGCCCCCTACGGTCCTGCGATACCGAACATGACCTCAGTTTGGGGGTGAGTACTCGCCTTTTGACGCTCACCGGGTGTCGTCTAACCGAACATAAGCTGAAGTTTTGGATGAACGTGCTGAGTGTCCGTCTTCTGATTTCTTCATGGAGATTTGAGAAACTTTCCTGGAGGTCGCTCAAACCAATCCGGATCTCACTCATGAGATCCGAAGATCTGTGATCTGTGATCTGACCTGTGATCTGAGGTCCGTGGTCGTGTTTGAAGGCCTCCGCCACACACCCGCTAGCTGTACAATTAGCGGTGTCTCCAAGCATAGCCCTCCTTGCCCATCCTCCAGCCATGGCCTCGTCACCTTCGAGCTCCCTGGGCTACCTTTCGCCCCGTCCGCCCGACTTGACACTTCCCCTGCCCGTCATCGGCTGACAGTCGGTCGACGCCACCCCCAGATGGACACGACTCGTCTGATCTGGGCGCTGCACGAGTCTGACCCGACGCCGGGTGGCGGCCCCTCCTACCACGGCACGCGGCGCGGGGTCCGCAGCCTCAGCCTGGACGGCTCGGGCGTCTTCCGCTTCCCGGCGCCCGGCGAGAGCGAGTCGTTTGTGTTCGGCAACAGCGAGGTGGCGCTGCCCGAGGCCCGCACCTACTACCACTGTTCGATAAGAGCTGCCTGACTTCGGTGAAAAGGTCCACCTCATTGGGGTAAGAGCCGTGGAGTGTAGTTGTGGGGTGTGCAGAGGTGAGCTTAGATTAAAATGTAGTTTGATTTGTTAGATGTTTAAAGCTTGGGTCAGCACTTTGGTCGCCCTTGGTCCGAACGAAAAAGTAGGGCTCCTTATATTTTCGACTGACGTTTGGTTGCAGTGTGTGCCGCGTATATGAAACAAATTCACATGAATGGGTGCCATACCTACATCAAGCTGCCGTCAATGAAATCAATGATGCCAATACTATCACGGTTTATAAACCTGTCACTCCAGAGGACGTGCCGTCCGTCAAACCACGCCGGTTTGGAACTGAGTAAAACACGAACGATCCCCGCCTCATATATCCAAACAAGATACACCACATGCTGCATGCTTCCTCTGACATTTATTCTGTGTTATCTAGAAAGGGAGGGTCCGCCGGCCGGCGTCGGGTCAGACACGTGCAGCGTCCAGCGCAGCACTTGGTCTAGAAAACAGCACCCGTTCGCCTGATGTCAGCGTCTGTCCGTGCAGTCTCGGGTGAAGCTGGATCCAGTCACCGCGCCGTACGTGCACCACATCCTGATGTTCGCGTGTACAGTTCCGGCGCACATGCACAACCAGTTCGACGAGTACGCCAGGAGCCATCCGGGCTCAGAGTGCTACAGGTAGGGACGGTGATAGTGCGTAGTGCGTAGTGCGTAGTGCGTAGTGCGTAGGTACGCACCCAGAAAGGCACCCGAATTCTGAACATCATACTTTGGCCTCCATTGCATCCTTCCGGTAAAATGCCAGTTTGGCCGTGGAACGTATCAACGTCTTCATCAGCGCCCTCAGCTGGGCTCTTGCCCTGCGATTTCTTTGATAGCATTTTTCAGTTGGCCGCTTGAAGTTGAGCTCAGTTCAGTGCTCCTATGCTGACAGTTATCGATCTTGAAATTATCAGTATTTACTTGTCAAACGGTGTTAACGGGGCAAACATTCGTTATATTGTTCATGCTCGGCGTTTTATCTGTGCTCACGCTCACGAGTGATCCACAGCTGAAGGTCTATGCTGAAGGTCGGTAACCGTCAGCACAAAAATTCTGAAATTATAATGTCCAAAATCGAGAGCTCAATGTTTTTTGCTTATGCTTAAATGTTAAGGCACCCTTTAAAAGTGATCGCTGTCAGATTTTAGATCCTCAAAACCACTGGAGAAGGATTGAGAGAATCTGTTATTTTGAAAAGTTCCAAGGCAAGGGCAAGGGCATTCCAGAGATAACGAATGCAAAACTTGTGACTGAAATGCGGGGAATCTTGTAAAATCCGGCATCCAGCTTTGTGTCGGTTAGAGGTCTGCAGTCGCGATATTTCTGTACACATGTATGTGCGCTCATAGTTACACGACTGATATTCTCGCCGATCTTGTCTCCATGGCATTGCCTCGCTGGAATCTCTGGTCTGGACGGAACGGCAGTGTGTACATTTCGCCGGCGTACCTCATTGCCGGCAGCCAACTGCGTTGCTACTCCACAGCCGTCCCTGAACCCACTCGGGGATATCAACGTCTACAGCTGCTCGAATGATCTCACTACTGTCACACTTGTGGGTGGCTACTCCACAGCCGTCCCTGAACCCGCTCGGGGATATCAAAGTCTGCAGTTGCTCGAACGATCTCACCATTGTCACGCTTCGGGGCAGTTTACCCCGCTCGCCAAGGTGTGAATGACACGTTGTTACATCCGCCGCACACTGCCACAGGGGGAGTGTAGAAAAGTCTACATGTACCTTGGACTCACTTCAATCGGCCCTGCTCTGTAGGCATCGGTATGTGGAGCAGAGAGAGAAGCCGCGGGCCACCACACCACCTAACGTGACTTTAGCGCATCTTCTGTGCCTTCCGTCATCAACTCCCATATTGCGCACGGCTGCGCTCGTTTGTCTGGATGCCACCAAGACGGGCACGTCACCCCGGCGGCCATTTATCCGTCGCTCATGCCGCCTTTTGCCGTCAACAGCAAGAACATGCCTCCGCACTGGTTTTTCTGCGGGAGCATCACCTCCGGCTGGGCGGTCGGAGGGGAGGGTGACATGCTGCCGGACCACGTCGGCGCGCCGCTCGGCCACGAGCACGGCGGCTTCACCTTCTTCATGCTGGAGTTTCATTACGACAACCCTCGCAAGCACGCCGGTGAGTCGGCTTTCAGGCGTCAGGGAGGCATCGATCGGCTGGCACTAGCTGACTTGCATGGCGGCACAACATGGACTGTGCGCGCCTTACAACTGTGTTTTGGGTGCAGGCCTCACACCGGTCGAGACTTGACGTCGGTTTACGGGATACCTGATATGTTCAGTGGCTCGAC